CATGGAAATACATGTTGTTTGATTCTTTACAGGCACTAGATTATGTTGATTAAAGAACATATTAAATGTTGAGGATTTGGTGAATACACCACAAAAAGAACAGCATAAAGTTTGTAAGAATTTGATGCACAAAAAAGTACAAAGATGGCTACAGTTAATTATTCAATTTATATTAGTTTGAGTAGTCATAACCAAAACTGTAAAATATAAAGATAATCCTAAAGTATTGTTTAACGATATTCTGGCATTGCATTTACAAGTTACTCGTGGCCAGATCAGGATTTTGTGTCTTGTTTTTGCAAACACTGGTTCTTATAGTAACAAACAAACTCAGGTTCACCATGCATGAGACTTCCCATTTACATGCTACATTTACGCATTGGCAGACACTTTTATACAAAGCAAATGACATTGCATTCAAAGGTATCCATTTGATCGGTGCATGCTTTCACTGGGAATCAAACCCATGACCTTGATGTTGCTAGCACTATGCTACAGGAATGACTTTAGCAGTACATGTTTTGGAACAGAGTTGGACAGGCAAAAAAACAACAACAAAAAAAAAAAAACCTGATATTTGTCTGCTGCATTTAATTCAGTGTTTCATCAGCTTTTCAAAAAGTACATATCAAATGTTCATTCCACCTTCCTCTTTTTGATTGACTTCCTGCAACACAAAAGCTTGCAGACATATGCTAAAGTCAAAAGAGCAATCACAGTGAACGTCAGTAGAAAGGCCAACACATCTATGTTGTGGTAAGAGTACCAAGGCAAGTTATTTCCCTCTGAGTGAAGGTGAGCTGCTCCTTTGTGTCTAATAACGTACTCAATCCAAAAAAAGTGGCGCTATCGAGAGGAGACAAGGGCCGATCGTGATGCAGCTCTGACAGTTTGCGGATGCTGCTCCGGTACAGTGGGTTCTCAAGGACGTCTTTGAGGGCTTCGAGGAATTCTTGCGAGGTGAGAGTTGCAACTTTAAGCACTCGAGCCGCACCTCGAACCTGCAGTTGCAGAACATTGTCAAACTGGTCAAAGAGGAGTGGCAAAGCTAAGACGGGGACTCCATGGTAAATAGCTTCATAGATACCATTGGTTCCCCCGTGAGATACAAACACACAAGTTTTTGGATGGCCCAGGAGATCATTCTGTGGAAACCACTCTAGAAGTAAAGTGTTCTTTCCCAGGGTAGAAGGTCGTTCCCCGTGGTACCTCCACAAGACTTTCTGAGGGATCTCAGCAAAGGCTGTAGCAATGGCCTCTGTGATTGCTGTAGGAAGAGCACTGACTACTGCTCCCAAGGACATGATGACTACTCCATGCTTCCCAGAGCTCTGCATAAACTCTTCCAGCTCCGTAGGAAGTGCTTGAGCCGGCTGACATTGAAAGCCACCCATGTAGACCACGTTAAGCATGGTGGGCCATGGAAACTCAAAAACAAAGTCCATTCTCATCAACCAAATGTCAGCAGATTGTTGCATTGTCAGAAGATTAGTACCGGGTGGGAAGTGACGCTCAAGCAGCTCTCTGTAAACGGGCACGATGATGTATCGCTCCTGAAGGAGGCTGAACAGATACCGTAGAAAATTTTCCATCCGCTGTAGGAAGTTCATTTAGTCATGGAGCAATGAATTGTATATTGGGACGTGGGATGGAGATGAGGGTGCAATTTGCATGTGAGCATCCCCTGCATTTATCCAACGTACATTGTAAACCATGGGAAGGTTGAGGAATTGGCTAACAGGACACTAGCTGGGAACGCAGGATCTGTTAGCAGCAGGTCAAACTTAGCTTCTCGCAAGCGTTCGACAAGCGCTGCATCGTCAAAAATGGCAGAAACCATTCGGAGCGCTCCGTTGTGAAATACCTTTAGTATGTTGGCGATATCTTTCTGCTGTTCCAAGAAACG